TCCGTTTCTTTTTTGAGAACTTTACGCTTAATTCACCTGTCATGATCTTTTCACAGGATTTTTATATTTTGTTATTACATCTATCGCGTATTGTTTGATTTGAACTATTATTACGTAATGTTAATTAAGATCTGATATATAACGATTTATTTATTTCGCAGAATACCGATGTAAACACTTTACCACTAAGATAAAATCAGAAAAGCAAATCTAAACAAATCTAGTTTACAGTAGTTTCTAATGAGTTTACACTTTTAAACTTACCAATTAAACTGTTTTAAATTTAGGCTTGTTTGATGATACCGTTTCCATTTAATTGCTGACTGCCAGTTTAGATGCGCATATGCCTTAAATTCGAATTACAAAACAGAAATTTTCACATTTTCTGCAGACAATTGATAATTATTTCAAGTTTTATTCAATTTGTGATCTTTTCTCGTTCTTAGGTTATGCATATATCATCTCATGGTGCAAAGTAAATGCAATTCACATATCGTCCAAGGATATAAAACGCGTAAAGCAATCCACATTTTTTTTTTTTAATAATTTAATTAATGTTTTGAATAGAGCACGTAGTTAGTTAGCATAATAACATGCAAATTCCTTGTACTGTTATTTTAAATGAAATATTTAAATAGAATTAACATACTACTCATCTAATGTGAATTATTACCTTTTTATTTTGTTGTTTTGTTATCAGAATATATATTTTTTAGATTCAAGGGTGCAGTTATTCAGTATGTCAATGAACTCACTTTTGTGTTTGCCTGTAAGCCATTCTTACTTGCAATTCAACCCATGCAGACTTTCTATATATTTTTTTTTTGCGAACCCCTCTCCTGCATTGAAAGTTCCTCTTTCATTCAGATTATTTCTGTCCAGTTTAATAATAACGTCAACTTGGGGTACTTTTATTCAATTTGCACATCGTTCTTTAACTAATTTCCATAATAAAAGTGGAAATCATTTATTAATTGTTCAAAAAATATATGATACTAATTAAAGTTGGAATTTGCTTTCACAATTTCAAAAGTCAATAGTGCAATGCTATTTTCGTTGAGACAGGTCATGTTTCAATGACGCAAATTATATTCTAGCTTTTGCGTTCAAACGTGTAGACAGTATCACCAGTTTATACACAAACACTCACACTCGTATATTATGGAAAACAGTATTTAGTATTCGCTATTCCGCGTCTACCATTGCTTAGATAAATAAATTGCGAATTATGGGCGAACAGCGAAACCGCAACGAAAGAAACAATGAACAAGGAATTGAAACGATATTTGCCCGATAAATAATGGATATATTAAACGAACCCGGAGTGGATTTATTCATAATTTTGCTTTATATAATAATTACCAAAGCAAATGCAGGAAACGCGTTATGTAACCACACCGTCGCTAAATCATCTTTTTTTTTGTTATATTTATTTGCGAAAAGTCGTGCAATATTGCGACTTTTTTTTAAATAAAATCATACACTCTGGTGGTGTCATGGATGTGATAAATTGCTGTTTGTTTATTTAGTTTGAACTTTGCTTCGCCGGATGGTTAATACGAAAGTACAACAAAAGTGCCACCTTAATTCGTCTTTTTTTTTCCTTGCTCCACGCCAAATATGAGTTGAGCAAATTTGCATTAAGGTTTATTATTATTAGCGAGATCTCGTATTATTTAGGTCGCAATTATTTTTACAATCAATTTGCAAAAACATTAATTGTGTAACTTATATGTACACGGTGCGGAAAGTCACCGAAATCGATGTATTTATTTGCTTTTGTTTCATACATATAAAATTGCATGAAGAATTATTACTGGATTTCATATTTTCGATAGGCTATATTCGTATCAATGTAAACAGGTTTTAATTATGTCCATAATTTTCGTGCAAATGGCGCAAAGCGGGAAAACTTTCACCGAACGCTGCTGCATTTTTACTTTTCAAGTCCAAAGTATTCAGGTTTAAAGCGTATTTTTAATTTTTATGGATACGCTTATTTGTATCGAGAGGATTCTCTCTTTATAAATATAATACAAAGTACACGAGGATTCCGATAAATTTATAAATAAAGTGAGTTTTTACGTAAATTGCATTATCAAAATTTTGTTGTAAACACGTGGAAAAATATTATAAAAGCTTACGGAAAGTATTAACTGGACTGCATTGCGTCGATACATCATACATAATCTTCACGGTCTTCGTTCATGCATATATTTTATTCTAAAAATATTATTTTATAAATGTTATCACAATTATAATAATAGTTGTAAAAGTAATAAGTGTATTCTTATTATCTATTATAAATGTTTTAAGTATTATTGATTTTGTATTCACCTAATACATAATATCAAATAATGATAATGTTTCAATTGTTTCGTGATAAGGCAAGTTAGAAAACATTTAAACAATCCATTATTCAGATTTTATATTGAAAAATTAGATTAAAAACTCAAAATTAATATGGTTTTTTTTAATATATGACTTTGTTGATGTCTACTAAAGGACACGAAAGAACATGACACGAAACAATGTGGTTGGTTTCATTTATTCTGATTCACAAACTTCTTAGCTATTTCTGGATGAAATCAACATTTTTTTACAAGTGCCATCATGATGCACACGGGCTATGTTTATATCGAAATAAAGAATTTGCTGCGTCATTAACAAACGTATCTCCTTCATTGAAGACATATCTGCATAATGAAGATTCAAAATAGTAGTATTAACTGTATCTAATAGTAGTATTTCTGTTAACTGGACTTTCACCACAAGGTCTTTGCATAAAGATGTGAGGTGTTGAAATGCTGCTGTATCCAGTATCTAAATTTGTATTTAAACTTAAGGATATTTTAAGAAATATATATAGAAACATCACACAACCAAATAATATTTTCATAAATATTATGAATATTGTAATGATTATGAAATGATGTGGGCTTACGAAAATTTCTTAAACACAAGAGTGTAAAACATCAATTTTAGCTACTGAATTCATTATTTCGAACAGAACGATAGTGAAAAACTTTTTTTTCAAACATATTTACCATGTAAATATCATTAGCAATACTAGTTTTACCAATATCTGAATACATTTATTTATTAATTGCGTCTTTGTTACGCAAATAATGCAGATATTGCATTCACATTCATATGCGATTAAATGTAGTTTTCTCATTTATACATTTAGATAAATCCAATATCGATCGATTTTATTACCATTCATTTTTACCAATTGAACGAAGCCTTTTGGTTTATTCATGATTACCACCGTTCATTAAATATACGTAATTCAAATGTCAAATGATTCTTAATGTCGTGTATATATTATTAATAAGTTCTCAATATAAAAATATTTTGTTTTATATTTATTTAATTTATTATTACAGAGTAATTTGCTTCTTGTATTGCCTTTTTTTATTGTATTTTCATCTTTTGTTTGAAATATATTTATATGCATAGATATATTTTTTATATACTCCACGGGCGGAAAGACTTCGTTCGATAACCCTTTGGTCGTAAATAGGCCAATACGAATTGTAAAATAAATAAATATTTTTATTTTAACCTAGATCATCGGTTCGACTAAAAGGGAACTTTATTATGAAGGCACATAAATTGTAACAATTTGTAACCAGGTAACAACATACTTTTTTTATATTTACGAAAATAATGATCGACTGTTAATCAATTTGTCTGTCATTTTCTTTAAATTATTATTTATTGCTTCTACCTTTTATACGAATATTAATTCATTGATTTATTGTATAATCAATAATTACATAAATAAATTGATGTTGAGCGGAAACTATATATTGTTTCCGCTCAACGTCAACTTATTTATGTATATAATATAAATTGTATCATAGCAGAAAGTACACGTGGCATTGAAAATTTTACACGCGCACATACAAAAATATCATTAAAATATTTTACATTTTTCTTTCACTTTATAATTGCTTCAATTGTTTCATATTATTTAGGTAATATTAGTCATTTTATGATAAATAACTATATTTTTAGATTTTAACTTTACAAAATCCCTTTGTAACAATGTATGTAATGTATGATTACAAGTATTCTTATATATTTTTTTATTCTTTAAATTCTGTTTAACTATAGCAAACAATATTATTATGTAAGTTTCAGCAACAATTACAATTATGTAAGAGATTAACAAAAAAATACTGTATATTTCTTGCCTAATATTTGGTTTGTTAAAGCAAGTTGATGTCAAATTACGTAAAATATAATTTGTTAAATTATATTAGTGTACACAATTAAGCTACAAAATACCAATACATTAACTTTATTGACGTCATCGATTAATATTTTCATTTTCTGGTGGATTCCTATATCTATCATTAATTTGACATAATATAGATTCTTAATTAAATTATGTATTTTTTTGTTTCTATAAATATATGTTTTATGTAATTAAAATACATTTAATATACATTTTACCATCAATCTTATAAATGTATTATGTTTAACGAATTTAAGTAATTCGTATTTATATAAATATAAATTTAGTGTTACAAAATTTAAATTGGTATTGTATTTTCTTATAATCTTTTAAATTTTGTCTACTACAATAGATAACTATGTTTATTAAGATCTGATAAACTAAGCAAAATATTTGTACCGTCGTTAACTTATTAAGCACTTTTAAAGCTTCCCTGTTACGCATTTTAAACTTTCAGTTTGTACTTTGAAATTCTGAATACATCTGTGGCAACTTACATAAGAAAAGATTATGGGTGTCTTTGTATGAAACAAAAGTGAGAGAAATCACGTGTGCCATAAAAAACAATAAACAGACTATTTTCGACCCGGAAGTGCTACGAATTAGTGTTATTACTATATTATTTTTTTGTTGAAATATAGTAGTAATCATTTCTGACGGAGATCAGGAATTCCCTCGGCTTTTCTACGCGCAAGTCCACGTCGGAGTCCAGCGTCGCGGTTTTAATATGCGATGAGATTACGTTTCAGTTCGCGGCAAATGTCGTTTATGTACGTACCTCACGCGTCTCCCATCATAACCAAATGAAAATGTGGAAAAGCTGTCACGCAGCCTAACGCACTTTCGAAACAAACTTTTCACTTTTATTTTTTGTTTTCTTCCAAAAAAAAAAAACAAACAAAAACATTTTAGTTATTTTTAGTTGAAAACAATTGACTGCGGATAATGGTCTGGCACCAGCGACAATATTTGTGATCCGATCGTAACTTCGAAGAAAATTGAGCCTGTTTTTATTTTTTTTTTCTTGTTTGCTGTGATAGTTCCTTGTATAATTTTGTTTTGTTGTTGTTGCAAAGAGCAACAATTTCTGTGATATTATAGGTAAGAATTTATGCGCGCTTGTTTCTATTTTTTGTAACGAATCTGACGAATCGAGTCAGTGGTCACATGTAGAAAAACTTCTATAATGAATACATATGCATGCTGATTTATTCAATCAACGTGTATCATAATCTGCACATTCCAGATGTTTATGTTATATTGAACTAAAAAAATATCCATATTTAATTTTTCAATATTATTTATTTTATTAATACTAATTCATAAAACATTAATTAAATATATCTACAAAGGATTTATTACTTTCTTTACAGAGAGTTAACATTTTCAAATTCAAACTAAAACCAATTTTGTTAAGCGTACACAGCCAGACATTAATAATGCTTTCTTATCTGAGTCGTTATGTAACTACTAGTTGAATGAAGCGACTTTCCCAATTGAGGAGAGCAAAGTGTTATCTTCAAGTTACACTTTTTTGTTGTTATTAAACGTTTGTCACCGCGAAATAAATGGATTACAGCAAATTGGGTACAGTGAAGTCCACTTGTAGAATGTGCAGAAAATAAATACGATAATTCAGTTGTTATTGTAACATCTAAGTTGCAACTTACATTACACGGTAAATAAATAAATTAAGCAATTTTCATGTCACTTTGGTTGTTGTGTGTTTTGATGATGGTCGAAACAGAACAACACGGCAGTTTGTCATGTCTGTTGAAGTTCGCGCGTTGCGGTTTATTGATGAATTGGATTATTAAATCGTTTCGTTTAAGTGCTTTATTATGTATAACAAATATTTCCGGCATAGCAACGGTGCTGCTTTGTACATCAAAAATAAAAAATCTTAGAAGCTTTTGTGTTCCTCGCTTACGCGATTTTGCGTCTCGAAACAATGAATTGTTTCGCATTTTCATAAACATTTCGACACGTCAATCGACAATTCATCATCCACATGAAAATAGTCGATCAATCCAACGACACACATAATCAAAAACTATAATTATTATTGATTCCCATTACATGCACTATTATTACAATTTGATGACATTGTTTTCGTTTACTTGATGAACTTGTTTTTAACAAGTTTTTCAAAATTTGAAAGTTCCTCACTTTTATTATTCATCTGAACCTTTCAAATATCCAATATACAACTTCGCATACTCTAGGAGTATTATGCATAACGCATTTATTTACCGATCAATATATCAATACTTTTGTAATTGCATTTTCCGTGCGTTGTAATCTAGTTTAAACTAGGTTTATCCGGCTTAAGAAGAAATGAACACTAGATTTTATAGTTTGAGTAAAGTTCAATTTATTTACAAGTCAGTTTTCTTAATATTTTTAGTATGTAAGATGCTCATTTTATTTAAGCTTTAAATAATCATTCTTTACAATCGTATTTACAGTTCAAAGTATGTGTATATTATATATATATATATATCTTACATATAAGATACAGTAATCTTATTTACCGACTTGATTGTTATGTTGGTCAATATATTATCAATCAATGCTTCTGTAATAGTTTGTCTGCATGCTTGAAAATATTTAAATACTTAAACATTTATGTTCTTTATATTTCCTGTAAACTAGATCAAGTTGATCTGGTTTACAAGAAATGCGTTCAAGTCTATTTAATACTTAATTTCTGTATAGTCTAACATGTTATAGTATAAACTTCATTTGATTTTAATACAGCAACAAAGCATCTTTTATTACATAAATTATAGTAGGTATCATAGGTGTGTCAGCAACGAATTTAGATAACCTCAATGTCATTACTTGCTAAACTCATCTAAATTTCTAAAAAAAAATATAAAATCTGTTATCTCATCACCTTGCTTTTTTCGCGACAACAATAATATTCTTGTAATAACAATAATTACGTTATACACGGGAATTGTATCCGCTTTATCTTATCACGCCACGCGATGATTTTATTAGCGCCTGGCATTCATCATCATATTACGAGGACCAGACCAGACCCTCCTCCAGTGTCCAATGGATGGAATTTATCAATTCGCAACTCCGGCGTTTGTTGAAAACTTTATTTTCAAAATAATAATAATTAAGCAATCATCGCATAATCACGAAATTATTTATATTTTTTATGCGACAGTTGATAGAGATGACATGTGTAGTTTTGTAGATTGTACCGGTTATGAGTGGCATACGTGAGATTTTTATCGCGAATCAGCAGCGTTACATAAGCGGCAGAGTAAAATTGGCAGGCCCCTAATCTACCGAGATGTAAACACAATGTTTAAATTTAGCGATCCCGTGTGACGTCAGTAATGTAATTACCGCACAAAACCTATATAGTTTTCTACTCTAGCTATAAGTATATATATGTAAAGCAAAAAATAAATTATTATAAAATATGCTTATTATAATTTATACATCTTAAGTGTTGATGATTACCACCTTGCCAAATATAAGGACACAATTGTCTAATTTTTAATTACTGTACATTTTAAATTAATTATAATTATTTAGTTATAATTTTTATTTTGCAATTTTTAATATTCGAACCAAGAATTTCCAGTTGACTGTAACAAGACGAATTTTGCTTATTTTAATACATTCATGTTCATGTTTTGGAAACACTGAACGAAATTGAATAATTTCTTATTTTAGGCGCCTTATGAACTGTGCGATGATGTCTCGCTCACTTTAAGCAAATATTTGTATAATTAAATGGCCACCAATAAATTAAGATTGTTTATTTTGGTGATACTACGGGTTGATAACAAAGGCAAAAAAAGATTAACATTTTAATTGCGATATTATTCTCGAGTGATGTGATTATTATGTATACAAATATATACATAATAATCATATTATTTGTGCTTAAGCTGACCTTGTTTGAAAATTTAACAAAATTACCTAGTAGGAGCTTTGCTAACGTCTAATTACGAATTGGATGCGATACATATTTTATTATTTCTAATGCTTTCACGAATCTATACTTCTATTACTTCATTGACGCATTTTCAGGATAATTTACTTATAAATTTGTTATTGAATTAATGATACTCGACGATTAAAATGTTTGTATTTAGTAAATTATTTATTTCTATATTTTTTTTTATCCAAAATATGAAAATATTGTCTCGCAATTAGTTATTGAATTTGAGTCTCAAGATTCGCTTTTGATGTTATTTTTTGATAACTAAAATATATCAATTTGTATATTTAAAACTGATTTGTTGTTGTTGTTGCTTATTTTTTACGTAAGTTTAAATAGTATTCACTAATCAATGACTATTTGCAAACGTTGCGCAAACGAAATATCGTGCCGTCGAGCGCCTTATTTAAGTGTTAATAAAAAGGAATTAACCTTGGGCAATATAGGAAGAAGTCGTAGTGCCAATTTACAACCGTGGCTCCAGCAATAGAGCCTCGGACACTACACGATTCGAACAGATATTTTTTTTACATATCAAAGCAGTTCGTCTGCTAGTGCAATTAAATATAACGATATCTACATCTACATTTTATTATATAAATCTTACAATTTCTATTATTTGTTTTATGATAATTTGTTTCTTTTCATTTTCAGCAAGTAGTATGAAAATGACTATGTACACAGCCCCAACGATGGTGCCACGGGCGCAGCTGAAAGAGCGAAGACCCGGAAGGCCATCAACTGGGAAGAGATTGGCGCTAGTCAGGAATTATCCCGGAAAAATTCGGTCCATGGTCAGAAGAAATTTAGATCCGTGTGAGAACTCGAACGACAGCGGATTAGGGTAAGACAATTCATTTAATATTAATCCAACATTCACCAAAGCTTTCACTCATTAAATGTTATTACAATGTTTTGAAGTTGAAAAAAAAAGTACTTGAGATGTAATTCGAGAGATGACAATTAGTAATTAACTGAATCACCGAAGTGTTTTTATGAATTAATCTCGGCCGTATAACACGTCAAAATTTAATCCTGTTTCGCGTTGTGGTGTAACAATATTTAATCACTGTTGTCTGTACAGTAATTTAACACAGATTTTTATTATACGGGGAAAACCTGAATCGATTATGATATACATGTTTTATTTGCGGTGTTTTCTTCTTTTTATTTATCGAAAACAAAGTACCTGCAGAATATGTTATTAGCTACAGAAAAAAAAATCGTATTGATGAATTTATCAGATGATTTGTATCATCAATAATAAGATTTGTATTCTCTTGAATTTAAAAGATTTAATATGAATTTAATTTTGAAAGATATTGATTAAAAGTATTTTTGAAGAATAAAGTGTCAGTATAAATTATAGATATATTTTAGAATAAATGACATAGTGAATTACCATACTTTACTTTTTATCTTCGTTATCTTAGCTTATGGTATTACATACTAATAGTTTATTATAAATAATAAAAATCTATTTAAAATTGACAAATTATTATACAACAGAATAATTCATTGTATAGATGAAAACACAAATACAATGGTCTATTGAAATTATTACAAATATTTTAATTGAAATACTAACAAATTTGTATTAAGCAGGCATTGTAGATAAAATCTTCATTACAGAATTTGGCATCAAATGTTTGGCATAAAACTGTTGTAATTTTGTAAAGCATGAATTAGTAATAGTTTAAAATATACATTGTCCATAAAGAGAGACAAGAGCAGATAAAATGCAATTTGTGACGTTACTTCTATATTTCTTTATTGCTAAATACAATGTTCAGATTATCCACATTTGAAGGAAACAGTTAATAATATCAGCATTTTTAGGAAGCACATCGTTTGTTTCAAGAGGCTCCTCTCTCAATCAACGCAAGGCTATAGGCCACGATGGCAACTCCGCCAAACTTAAACAGATATGTTTAAGCTACATAAACATCCTATAAATTATACTTCGCTTTACGAATTTACGTCAAACTTTGGCGAAGACTATTTTTAACGGCATCTTTTATAATTATTTTACCAAGCGAAATGAAAGAAACATAAATGTTAAAGATTCATATACATACATAAATGCAATAATACATTTCAAGAACGAAATTTATTTGTACAACAATAATGCCGCACGAGGTTAGATTGTGTTTACCTAGATATTTAAATTGTGTTTGCGATTCATCTAATTGTTTCAGCAAATAAACCGTCGCATTTTATTTGTATGTATGCTTGCGTGTATGTGCGCGCATATTCCAAGAGAAATCCTCAAATAAATGTGCAATGTGTTAATTAATTACTGTTACATTGAAAAAAAAAGACGGTTGAGTCGTTTGTAAAAGACGGAACAAAACGGGGAAATAACAGGTTTTTTTTTCTCTCCCGATTTGTTGACTTTCGATTGAATCGAGCCGATGATGATCGTCTCAAGAGAAAACCATGTCACAGAAAGGAACGAGTTCATATCACATGGCACCGGTACAAATTGACTCAAATAATTCTGCATGTCGGGAATTTATACAACTATATTCTTCTATGCCACGTGCTATATTACATTATTCTTGTTTATGCTTCTTATTCTTCTATGTTATTTATTTACTTTTTTTGCTACTGCGTTTCAACGTACACTGATCTATAGATTTATTAGAAACTAGTAATTTTAGCCTCAAGTTCTTTAAACCCGTGACTTGGAAATCCCAACGATAAAAAGCATGGCCTTGATTATAATACCGATTTCTTTTGGTCTATTATATTTATAGTATATAGAAAATATTAATATTCGACGATAATAGAAAAAAAAAATATGAGTACGTGTCCCATTTCTAAAACAGTAATTACGGTAGCATTCTTGAAACTAAAAACTCTTAAGACAAAAGCGCTAAATCGTCTCCGTACCAATTTTTCCATTCGTTCAAATTAATTGTATCTATTCGACGTCTCATAGTAAATTAGTTAGTGTAAAGTTTCGATATGCTTCAATTTATTCATTTAACGAACTGCGACTATCACAGACTGAACATATTATCATGTCAAATCATTTTAAATGCCGTCCAATACAACCCAAACTGTAAATTTATCATATTAAAAGAAATATATTTTTTGAATTTAATACATTTAATGGAAATTTGCCTTTTATTTTGAATATAGTTAAAGAGTTATTGCTTTTAAATAAGCTAACTATTTCCGTATGTAAGACAAGAATAATTTCAAAATGTTATTTAATAAAGGTAAATTCATTAGAAAGTTTCATCTCCTGAAATCCCGTATGTTATGTGTGTATGTTTTAGCTTGGAAGCATGAGGAGGTATCAATCTTTGTAATATTCTTTTTTTTTCTGTTTCTATTTTTTATAGTTTCGATCAGCATACGGATCCACATTCGTATAGTATGACTGATAGATTGAATTGGACGGATGAAAGGGCCCAGGCGAAACGGTCGAAAGTTGACATAAAACTTGAAAACGATGAGGTTAATGAAAACTACTCGTTCCCCGAACACGTGAATGCAATTAGGGATAACAATGCGTAAGTCGCAAAACAACTCATCAGAAGAATATGTAATATATTTGATTGTCCTGGAAACTCAAATTTTGGCTGTTTTGAAGTTTGGGCTGCGAATGTGTACGATTGTATGTTTTCACTATATGAATGAATGCTATTCTGAACGATATGATGTATGTTTGTGTATTTCGATGACATTGGATGTAGAAGTAATGTATTTATTTGAATTTATTTTATTGCAGGCTTATCAGAACAGTACCAGCCGCATCAGCCTCGGCCTTAAATGTAAACAACACACAGGCCACAACATCACGTGGTTCCATCCCTAGATGTTTACCGGTGTTGAACAGATCTGCACCCGCTGGACCAGTCACGTTAACAACCCTATTGCAACCCTCATCACGTTACAGTATGTATCATTATTATGGCTTCGGTAAAAAGCAGTCATGTGCAAATTCGCAAATTTTACAGTGAACATTGGTCTGTCAATACTGTGCCAACCTGAGCAGCAGCACAGAGCACGTTATCAAACGGAGGGAAGCCGAGGTGCAGTGAAAGATCGTTCTGGAAACGGTTTCCCAATTGTACAGTTAACTGGATACAGCAAGCCTGCAAATTTGCAAGTATATATGGCAGATTTGAAGTGTTATATAGTTCAATCTACTTAAATCATCGTTTCGTAGGTCTTTATTGGTACTGACATTGGCAAGGTAGCACCGCACATGTTCTACCAAGCCTGCAGAGTTAGCGGCAAAAATTCCACGCAGTGCCAAGAAAAAACAATCGACGGCACTGTTGTCATAGAATTGATGCTGAATCCATCGAAAGATTTGGTAGCAACTTGCGATTGTGTCGGCATCCTGAAAGAGCGCAACGTTGATGTTGAGCATCGATTTCCCGAGCATCTGGCATCACGCAGCAAAAAGAAGTCGACGCGCTGTCGAATGATTTTCCGAACTACAATAACCCACGACAATGGAACGCAGGAAACACTTCAAATCTGTTCGCAACCTATAGTTTGCAGTGAGCAAAAACCGAACCTTATTGATCATAGTTATATCAAATTTACACCTATTTTTTTTTGTAGCACAACCACCTGGAATTCCAGAAATTAGTAAAAAATCTCTAACATCGTGTCCGGCCGGTGGAGGACTTGAACTCTTTGTGATTGGTAAAAATTTCCTGAAAGACACGGTCGTTTACTTTCAATCCGAAGAAGACATGCACAGGCCGTGGGAACAATCGGTTGTACCTGACAAAGAATTTTTGCAGCAGGTAAATTCATCAAGAAAATAATATTTGTAACAATTCCACTAATATTTATATTGTTTTTTTTTTCATGAAGACTCATTTGGTATGTCTCGTTCCACCTTATTTGCATCCTGATATAACCGAGCCGGTGACGGTAAGGCTATATGTAGTGTCCAGTGGGAAAACAAGCGAAGCACACCAGTTTGTATACACGCCCGTAAACGGGGCCATGCCAAGCGGTAAGCTCGCGTTAAATATATTTCAACACTTTCTATTACATAGATTAGCTTAATAAAAATGTTTGCAGTTTTGGAAAAACTCGTTACAAAATTAAATCATAAACGCTCGAGACACGGAGCGAATGCAGCAGTAGTAATATTCGCGCATAAAATCAGAACGGCAAAAATAAACTATTAAGTTAATTTAGCTTATTGCATGCGGATGCATGGTACAATTAATTGTAGCTGAAAGTGATCGCAAAGTATGCGGAAAACCTAAAATACTTTACGATCAACTACAACTCCTAAGATACGTTCTCTGCTAAAACCGAACTTACGAAATTATTTTTTTTTTAATAGATTATCATTCTGAAAAACCTGTAAGACGGTTCTAGCAGAAACGGATCTAATTTAGTTAGTTTACTAAAAAAAAACCTCGGTGGCAAATGTATGCATTTTCGAATTATTTGAGCGACTGAGATTTATTGGATGAATGCAGTTGTTATTACAATAATTATTATTAGTTTTTTTTTCACATTCCATTTTCAAATTATTAAATAATAATTTTTAGTTTACATGAGGTTGAGTGTATTTTCTGTGTCCTTTTTTACATCGAATGAGTGAAGGCGGCTGACTGCAGTTGTATTTTATTATTTTAACTTTCTCCATTTTAATTTTAAATGTACTTTTTAAGATTTGCACGAATCTGATCCGAAGAGCGTTGTGCGGTATATGTTTGCCCCAAAATTTTAAAAAAAATAATATTGATGAAAAGTAAATACAAAAATGTGCGAATCGGCGCAAGTCCGTGATATTTCACTTCTTGTTACTTAATTCAGTTTGATTGAATAATTTTGCGTACGTGGCAATTTTTTTATTTTCCTTTTCTTCTTCATAAATTATTTAACGTTTCTGTGTTTCCGTGTATAGTAACACGTGCATATTTGATGATATTATGATGATACAGTTTGATTCTGTATTTTTTTCTTGTGTTTCTCTATAGGTTTCATCGATTTTTACATCAATAACTATTTGAAGTACAAGTTAATAATCTGTTTTAATAGATACATATATATATATTATTTTTTATTCGATTGAATATATATTTTTAAAAAAGCATGAGAAAAAGGAAACCAAATTTTGTACTTAATAATTAAATTTTTATCATAATTTGTAAAAAAAAATATTAAATTATTAAACAAAAAAGAATTTATAATTATTATATATATATATAGTATTTCCTTTTTTATATTGTTAATTAATTATAATGGAGTATTATTTTGTTGATTTTAATATATATTCGTCAAAATACGGATTTTATGGAAACTTGTTATCTTCTAAAATTTGCTTTCGAGACTAGTTTTGTTATTGCAAAGGTCGATTATTTGTGCGAAATTAGTGCTCGCGAGATTCGAAGGTTTTACGTTTTCTACGATGATCTGCACGATAATACACGGTGCGTTTCTATTGTCTTTCTCTGGGAATTTTAGATCTTTACATCTATTTTTTTTTTGTTCCTACTGGATAATACTCCATTAAAATTAATGTTAGGGAAGAGATTCTTTTTTTTATTGGAGATTTGTTTTGTACTTGTAAAATTTTTTGATACAATGTAGAAAAACTTTATTTACTGTAACCAACTCCAAATTGGTACTCGAGTATTAGAGTTAAAAAAAACATACGTGGTCAGAGTCCGAGTTCTTCGGCTTTCTGTTAGAACAATCAAAAAATTTTACAACCCTCTGTGAGAAGTGAGGCCTTTTCACAGTGGGCCATTTCTGGATCATCTACTGATCCCGATTTCATTTGCCTTGTTATTGAGAGTATTACAAAGTAAATAAAGTTTTTCAAATTGCTTTTTTCCACTTTGTCTCATACAGCGTACAGGCTCTGTATACGCAGAGGGGCCGCCTGCCGTCGTCTTCTGTCAGCCTGCGGAGCCTAACCTCCGTCAACAGCCGCGTCATTCAGGTCTAGCATCACGGGTACTTAAAAAAAATGAAACATCTCCACACACACACTACACACACATACAAACACATATACATACAGATGAATTATATATTCAAAAACACATATATATAAAAACATGATTCTATTAGAAACAATGGCTAAAACTTTCGTAATACAACAAATTGGACCAAAAAAATGTTAAACAATAACAACCATGGTTTCTAATAGACATGACTATAAAACATATTTCAGATAAATCAATAACAATCAGTTTTTAGTTAAGTATAAACATATTTACCTCATCAGAACTAAGTAATATATATTTTTAATTTTTTTGTTTCACCTTTCTTGTTTTCTATTATTTGAAACAAACACCAACATACACACTGTACATCGCGTGTAATTGCATATTTTTCTTTCCGAAACGATAAATATTTCTTTCATTTATTGATTTCCTTTTGCAATTCAGCAAATGATCGAAAGAGTAAATACACACAAAGACACATCTAGTATATCATCATATTCCTAATTTAAGTCTTATTTATTTAATTATTTATTTTTCATTTAACTCGTAATATGTTTCAAACTATTTTCTATCATAAATGTAGATATATAATAATTGTGATTAAGGGCTGCAGCGAGCGAAAATCCCAAAGGATAGTAATTAACCATTTAAATTTTCCCGAATCGATAATATTATTTGCAGGAAGCTAGGCGCAATAGGAGCTGAAGATGTTCGCACTTGAGAAAAAAAAACAATAGAGGAAGAAAAAAAGAAAACGAACATACTCTTTCGAACGGAATCTTAGAAATCTTTTCTATGCATTTTTACTAACCTGCAACGTTTTGGCGAACGAATGATCTGAGTGTGGAATATGTTTATAGTGTGGTGCGACTTTTCTTCCTTGAATTTATATTTATTATTTCATTTTATCTTTCGATCATTTTCACGATTTATATTTTTTTTACAATTTTCTCTAAACGAAAATACGAGAACATCCTTTTACGAAACCATCCTTTTGTTATCAATTCATTTAAAAATCCGGTTATTTCAAGATTCCTCTCTACTACTAAATTATTTTACTATAGTATATTTACATTAATGTTTAATTCTCGATTCGCATGATTTCCATCACTCTGCTTCATTATTTTTTAGCATGCGTTTAACGGCAATTCAAACAAATATTTATTCATATTCGCTTTGTATTTTTTTTAATAGAATAGTAATTGTTTATTTTATCTAGATTTTGTTTTAATTTCAAGATTATTTAATAACATTTATATTTATTTTACATAATTGGTATGTTGTAAACACATAATAATGAAATAGGTTTTTGGTGTTGATCTGTTTTTTAATTTTCGTTTGATAACACATGGTGGCAGTTTTCCCATTTATGTTTCTTGGTAGAGAGGTTTCTTTACATCATTCCGTTAATTATTATCGAAATCACTTTACCTTTCTCAATCCTTTCATCGGATTTATAAACATTTATTTCTCGGTGAAATTTTCTTACAAGATTGCCTCTTCGTCTGACAGAGATTTGTGCGTGTGTGTAGGCTTTAACGTTGCGGGTTGCAACCCCAATATCTTGATATATGTATCTTTATGTATATCCAGTTTGAGGGTGCATTTCTGTCCTCGATCCCTAAATATTCGACACATTTGTTATTGTTTTTTTTGTTTCAGTGGCTTTGTGGCAGCTAACTTATAATTTTAAGCGATACTGCAGTAGAATGATTTGTGATATTGTTTCTATGTGATTTTACAGTTCATGCGGTCGATCAACAGACCCAACAGCAAACCGCTCCATTTTTGTCAAAGATGCTTTGGAGCACTATGACCAAACAGGAGCAGGATGTTGATATGATGCCACCACCTGGGACGAGTCTGGTACCATTGTCGCAGCGAAGACCGTCGGCAACAATGTCTTCAGTGGATGATCATTCGCCTCCGCTAAGGACGATGAAGCAGGAATTGATGGATGAAAACAGTCAAAATTCGGTGATGGATGCTTCAGAGTTGAGTCAAGGTGTAAGGTACAGGAACATCTCGGAGAGTTCGTTGGATGTGAACCAAGGGGATTCAAACATTTCAATGATCAACGATAATTCAATTGATATATTGAGGCACAATCAGATGATGCACGTCATGAACGAAAATTCGAATATGAGCATTGGGAACGAGAATAGTATGGACTTGATGAACGGCAGTAATATCTGCGAGAACATGAATGACGGAAACGGATGCAACAACTTCGCACAAGCTTTAATGCGACAGAACGAGATGCAGGCAGAGTTGAAAGTTATAGATTTAAGAATGAAAATGCCGATGGCCACAGTAGCAGATCTGGTAAACACAAACGCACCTTCCATGGCAACTTTGCAAAGTTTCGGTGTTACGGAAAGCACAAATCTCCCATTGCCGAATCAAACAGGTCAAAGTATAGAAAATTACTTAAACAACATCGAAATCAAAGCCCAGAACCAGCAGGTCTTAACAAATAATTTATTAACGACGGCCAATTTAATCAGTCATGAAGCCACAAGCTTTTTGAACTCACCATTATCAATTAACGTTGGAACGAAAACGAGCGAAGCAGCCGCAGTTGGCGAACAGCAGAACAACGTCACAACAATTTTACCCAATCCTATAACCACCGAAAAGTTGGACGCTATGGTGAACTGTGCCGTCGAGTCGCACATCGCCCCCAAGGATGAAGTACTATTAACAACGCAAGACGTTATGTTAAATGCCACTCTACCACGGATCCACACTCCGATGTCATCGCCTCAGCTTCCACCAAGTCTACTCTCATCCGCCCAAACAAGTCCAAATATTGCACCGAATGTGATCCTGAATAGCCAAATCTCACCCAGCTTAATGTGTCGAAGCAATTCTGAAAATCTTCTTCCTCAAGCGAACATGACAAACGTTGAAAATACACCGATGCTTCTGACCACAGCAACTAACTTAGTGAGCGAACCTGAGAAGGTCCTCATCCTTAATGCTGCTGTCGATCTTCTCGAAACCCAAAAGAAATTCAATGATTATCAACCAACGATGATAAATAACATATTAACAACATCGAATACCACAGACGTTCTTCCCAATCTCGACCAATTGCCAAACAATGGGAACAATTTTTTACAATATACAACCGCATCCAGTAGTGTTCCTATAGAAACTACATTAATTGCATCCAAGTCAATTTCAAACGACAATAAGCAAGAGTACGTTCTTACCGTGACCAAGAAAAGCGAAGACCGGATGATTCCTCCATCCTTTGCCACAATGTCTGAGAATGACTTAATCAACATTATCAACCCCAGTTGTTTCGACCAAGGTAACAACTTTCACTAAGTAGCATAGAGATTCAATTTTAAAACTCTCGGTTTACCTTATTTCTTTTGTGTTCTCCCACCTTCTTCTATTCGAAATTTTAGTTATATTTTATTATCATTTGAATAATATGTTCTTGTTTGTGAGTGTTGTCGATGAAAAAATCCTAACGCATTTATTTTTTTCAGTATAATCATAGATTTGGTGGAGGTATCATCATACTCATTAAATATATAAACAGTAAACGTGTTCAATGCCGGAAAACTCATATCATTCATTTACAAAAAAAATCTGTTTATCGTTAAGTGACAACCGATGTGTGTATAAATGTATTATTAACTAAGTTATAAAACAAATAGGTTTGTAATTATTATATATTCGCTTTGTAATGAATTTTTAAAATCATACAAAAACTGATGCAATGCAAGGAATATTGTTATATTTTGTTAAGTTTGCTCAATCCCAACATAATGTTTTAAGTTTGTACAGGAAGAAACTTCTTTGAGATAGTGAGAGCGTATTATGCGATAAAATGAAAAAAATATATGTAGAAAATTACTTTAAACAGATCATTCATTATTATATGTACTATATTAAATTGTATTTATTGTTTCGTATAGATATTATTATTTTTATTTTGCAACAGTTTTTTATCCAATACTGTTTAATTTCTTTTTGTTTTGTTACGTTTTTTCCGAACAGGAAGGAAATGATTATTATATTTTATATCTTATTATTTTGTGTGCCTAGAACTCCTCTGTCCATGGACTCAGGGCGAGAAGTATAAACTAACTTCTTTCTATGAAAGGCTAGTATAAAGGAAAAAAAAGAAAACTATGTATAAATTATTTTTGCCGTCTCCCAACGCATCCACCAAAGCGTATATTCCTTTTATAAATACTCAAAATTTTATTTTGTACGACAAATGTGAGAAAAAGATATTCTTCTCGATTTGAAAGGGAACAGCCCTTTTAAAACTATTTTTTATATATATAATATATGAAATATGTAAAAATAAAGTACAATGAATATCAAATGTATTGTTACTATGAGGTGTAATATTAAAAAGAAATCAACTACAGAAACAAATTAATAAAAGATTTGTTTATTTCTAATTTCCCTTTTGAAAATTCTTTAAAATATTAAAAATGGCAATATATATATAAATAAAGTTTAAACGTTTAAGAAATCCGTTGGAATGCTTCCGATGATGGTAAACGTAGTGATTGCATTCTTTCCTTTATATCCGACACCGATTTATTTCTCTTGGTAAAATTACCCTTCCAGAGCCACATCCTGCAGTCCTTTTTCCATCGCGTCGCTATATCGCTCATAGAATATTGTTTTCCTCTGTAATTTAACATTTCGTGTCTAACGACAAATACTTTGTCAGTTGAAACTTCCTTTGTAATATGTTCGGCTTCCTTGCACTCTTGTCGCTAGATGAAAATGAATTGAACAAAATTTTCTATATTTTATAATTCAGAAGTTAGCATAGTTAATACCTTTTGCTTCTCAACATGCTTTAGTTCTTCTAGAGCTCCCGTGAACGATTTTGCTTCACGAATTCCAACGTTTGTGTTTGTAGAGTTGAAACCAATGCTAGAAATTGAACGTCGAAGCGGAATTTTTCTCGTACAATACGCTTCTTCCATTATAAAACACTACGTATAAAATTGTTTCTATAAAAAATATTTTTTTATGACAGTGTCATTTTTTTATATATAACTTGTAATTGATTTTTATTTAGGAAATAAACTAATTGCATAAACAATGTTATGCAAATGCCTATGAACTGCAAACGTTTAGCCTTAATATACAATTTTATAAAATATTGTATTAAGTAAATATATAAGAAAAGGATTTATAAAATAGTACTAAATTTACAGGCCATATTCGTTCTTTCAAAATATATATAATAGTTTTGTAATTAAATTTAAAGTCTATTCTAAACCTAAACAACTATATATTGTGATAATAAATTATAAGAATAATAGGCCATATATATATATACATAAAGAGGTGAAATGTTAAAAAGTATATTATAAGAACATTAGTTGTAATCTTTGTAAATTTGAATAACATAATAAATGCATTTTATAATCGAACATCCAGAGTATTTGAATTTCCCGCATTCATCTCGCAACGCTTCCTTTGGTAACATAACAAACTGATTGCAGTCGGCACTTGTCAAAGTTAAGAACTTTGCCATTTCAAATTTCAAAAAGTACAGCGCAAAAGTAAGTATTACGCCATATCCTCTGTCACACATTAAGGAATATTCTAGAAATTGATCCAAAATAAGTTTGTCAGTTGTGAATACCTTTTGGGTCCAGTTGTAATAAGATTGCACCAAGTTTCATCATTTTCTAACCTCTAAATGATTTAACTATTTTTCAGTTTCAATGATGAGTTCGATCTTGGTCTCAAGATTATGTTGCTCGCCAAGCTTGCGGTTGGCCGCAGCCAGATACGCTCCCAAAAACAACATCATTGTCCGCAACTTTACAAGAAATGAGCGTGACACTATCCAGAAGACTGCTAGGAAGCCAACTTTGAAAGAGAAGTTGATGGCCCCAGCTGGGGACTCTGCTTTCAAAATTGGAAAAGGAGCCCTAGCTGGTGGTGCAGCACTTGGAATTGGAGCTCTATGTTTCTATGGATTAGGTTTGTCCAATCAGGCTGGAGCCTTAGAAAAATCAGCGTAAGTCTTTTGACATTCATATTTATGAACAATACATATATATATAGCTTTATTTTAGAATCTGGCCTCAATTTGTGATGGATCGAATTAAACAAACCTATTTGTATTTTGGTGGATCAATTGCAATTACAGCTGCTGCAGCATTAGCTTCATTTAGAAGTCCAGCCATTATGAGACTAGTCACTTCTAATGGGCCTATGGTAATTGTATTTTTATTATTACATTGTTTATTCTAATTTTCTTGTGTTTTAGGGATTCTTTGTGAGCATTGCAGCAATCATGGGTACTGGAATTTTATGCCAAAGTATTGACTACTCCCAAGGCTTTGGCCCAAAGCAAATGGCTTGGTTATTGCATGCTGGAACCATGGGAGCTGTCTTGGCTCCTATGTGTTATCTTGGAGGTCCTTTATTGATGACAGCTGCTTGGTATACAGTTGGAGTAGTTGGTGGACTCAGCACTATTGCTGTGAGCTATAAGATATTCAAATTTGTTAATATAATATTGATTTATTCAAAATTTTAGGTTTGTGCCCCAAGTGAGAAGTTCTTAATGATGGGAGGTCCTTTGGCTATGGGATTAGGGGTTGTATTTGCTTCCTCAATTGGTAGTGCCTTCTTGCCAGCAACTTCAGCCTTGGGTGCAGGATTATACTCAGTTTCGCTCTACGGAGGTTTATTACTGTTCTCCGCTTTCCTCTTATATGACACCCAAAGGATAATCGCCCAAGCTGAAAGATATCCCACCTCACCAGCACTCTATGGAGTCCGGCCATACGACCCAATTAACTCGTAAGAATATTATTGTTTTATATTTATTCTATTATATTATTTATATTTTTCAGTGCTCTTTCCATCTACATGGATACTTTGAACATATTTATCCGCATTGTATCCATTATGACTGGAGCAGGTGGAAACAGAAAACGATAGATCAACTAATTATTTTATGATAACCTAAGTTATATGAATAAAGTTTTTTTTAATTATTTATGTTTTACTGTAGCGGGAACAGTAAATTTATTTATGTTATAAAAAGTACTATATATTATTATTTTCTAAGTTTAAATGTGTTAATAGATAAATCCTAATTCCAAAAATGTATTATTTTATTCCATTCAACACCTAATATATACTTACCTTAGCTAAGTATTGAAGTGATTGATTACAAGGTACAATAAAGAAATGGGTCAGAAATGAATACAAAAAGTTAAACAAAAAAATTTATTAAAAATGACTAATTTGACTAAATGAAAATAAAAATAGTTGCATTCAGTATAAACAAATTAAAACTTTATATATAACAATATAACAATCTGTACATTTTACAATTTCCAATTTGGACTTTTTTCTTTAATGATGTTTGTACACACTGAATTTATAATAGCAGTAATAAACCATCCATCAGATCAGTTTCAATATTTTGTTTGTTTTAAATGCGTTTATAAAATGCAATTAACCTCACCCGCACAAAATTCGTATCAAATCAGTAAAAATCTTAATACGAATTATACCAGACAACATTCATGCTCACAAAATATAATTATGAAATGAAGAGACGCACCGACGCTATATAAAGGAAGTTTGCGTCGCGTCAGTCTCATATTAATACACAAAGTCTACAATTTTTTATACCAATGGTGGTCGTTTGAAAAAAAATATTTTTGCGCCACTGGAATTAAACCGGCTTTGAACACACTGATAACACCAGGATGACGAGACGAGAGATCTCGACGAATGTTAAAGAATGATTATCGCAGTCACTTTGTTACATAGTTCATTGTTCACTTTACATCATGCCGCCCATTCCACCCATTCCTCCCATACCGCCCATGCCTCCCATACCACCACCAGCAGGCATTGGAGGTTCTTCCTTTGGAATTTCAGTGATAACAGCTTCCGCCGTTGTCAAGAGAGAGGCGACACCAGAAGCATCGGTGATGGCGGTGCGGACAACCTAATTACAGAAAAAACAATGATTAAATTTACTGTAAAAATCTATTGCACAATGTTGCATACCTTGGTGGGATCAATGATTCCCCTTTCAACCATGTTTACAAATTCATTGTTCAACGCGTCGTATCCGTAGTCACCATCATGGGCTTCTACTTTAGCAACAACTTGTGCACCATCAACTCCAGCATTCTTGGCAATAGTCATGCATGGCATCCTCAATGACTTCCTTACAATTTCAATACCTGCAATGTGATAAACGTTATAAATAACCTACTCATTCTTTATTCGATAAGAAGAAAAATGTGTGTTGCATATCATTGTGACAAAAGTATTGAGAAAACGCATTGTCTATTTATGATAAGTCAACTAATTATATAGCATCACTTCGACACCTATTGGCATAAAAACAGTTCAACAGGCTCTAATGTGTGCAATTAGAGAAAAATTAATATATTTACCAGTGGCTTGATCATTGTTTCCTGGTTTGACAGATTCCAAGCTCTTGATGCACCTGATGAGGGCGGTACCACCTCCGGGAACAATACCTTCTTCAACGGCGGCCCTGGTTGCATTTAAAGCGTCGTTGACTCTGTCTTTCTTTTCGTTCATTTCAACTTCGCTGCTGCCTCCGACCTTCAAGACGGCAACACCTGAAGCCAAACGCGCTAAGCGTTCTTGCAATTTTTCCTTTTCGTATTCAGATGTGGTGTTGTCGATTTGGTCACGGAGTTCATCGGCGCGACGGTCAACGTCTTCCTTGGTTCCCTTGCCCTTAAGGATCAAAGTGTCATCCTTGGTAATGACGATTTCGCCAACTTGTCCCAAGTCGGTGAGCTTGATGTCTTCGAGCTTGACGATGTTGGCGTCATCACCGAAAACAATACCTCCGGTGGAAATAGCCATATCGGTCAAAGTGGCTTTGCGGTTATCACCAAAACCTGGAGCCTTAACAGCGGCTACTTGGAGACCAATACGCAGTCTGTTTACAACCAAAGTGGTCAATGCTTCACCATCAACATCTTCGGCGATGATGATGAGTGGTTTACGTTGGGCATTAGCCAATTCGAGAGCTGGGACGATGCTTTGAACGGAAGAGATTTTCTTCTCACTCAGGAGAACGAGAGCATCTTGGTATTCGACTTTAGCGCCTTTGGTGCTGTTGACGAAATATGGGGAAATGTATCCACGATCGAATTTCATGCCTTCGATGACTTCCAATTCGTCGTTCAAAGTTTTACCATCCTTGACGGTAATAACGCCTTCTTTGCCGACCCTCTTCATGGCATCAGCGATCAGTTGACCAATAGCGGCATCTCCATTGGCGGAAATGGTAGCTACTTGGGCGACTTCCTCAGGGGTAGTGACTGGTTTGGAAAGATCCTTTAAAGTACCAGTGATCTTCTCGACGGCCAACATGATACCCTTGCGAATTTCAACTGGGTTGGCACCTTTGCCCAAGTTTTCGAAACCTTCCTTGGCAATGGAACGAGCCAAGACGGTGGCAGTGGTGGTACCATCACCGGCTTCTTCGTTGGTGTTGTTGGCGACATCCTGAACCAAGCGAGCACCAATGTTTTGGAACTTGTCTTTCAGTTCAATACCCTTGGCTACGGTGACACCGTCCTTGGTGATCTTCGGTGATCCCCAAGATTGCTCAATGATGACGTTGCGGCCTTTTGGTCCCATTGTGACGGAAACGGCATCGGCGAGAACGTTGACACCCTGGAGCATGAGGGCACGGACTTCTGGGCCGAACCTGACATCCTTGGCGTACATGCATCTTTGTACTTGAGCTACTTGGTTTGCCTGGCGAGCGGCGATGTTGCGTAAGCTTGATGGCAGACGATACATCTATGATAGAAACGTAAGAATTATATTATTTTGTACGTGTGTAAATTTGACGGTAAATCACAAAGTCAATTGATTTTGTTTCGAAATGAACCTACTGTGATGTCAGGAATAGAATGGCGTCCGTTGCAAATAATCGGCAGTTCTTTATATACGAACTTCCCAAAAACTAATGCAAAGACGTTACATGTGCTATAGCACGGCTTCGACACCCATTGGCCTATAAAACAGCACAGCGAGCTCTAATGCGTGCAACTTTTAATAAAATAATCTCATTATTAAATAAGATAAATCAATAATTTAAATCTAAACCCACTTTATTTTTTTACATCTCTGCATATAAAGTGTGGCATCTAACCTATGGTGCACATGGTATATTCATTCTAGAATGTACCACCAAATCTATAAAGCGGTCAAGATGGCGGCTTCAACGCAATAACCTTAAAATCTGGAAAACCATGTTTTTTCTTAAAGATATTATATATTGAACACCGGAAACAATTACAGCGAATATCACGTTATCAACATACCTAGATTAAATCATAATTTAACGTTATAATGCAATACGATTTTAGGTTATGTATCGGGTTCGCCCTTTATATAAAGCAACTAACTGAATATATTAATTATATAAACTAAAGATTTAGCTATAAATGCAGGATTAATCAAAATTGAACAATTGTTTCATATAATGGTTTGAAGTTAAATACATCTATCCATGTCAGACCACATGGTTTCTTTTGATTGATGAATTAAAATTAACGATATTAATGTTATTATTAAATTAATATGAAATAATACCTATAATATTTACCTTTATTGTGTTTCAATTAAGTATTTCAGATACTTAAACAGGAGAAAACCTCAATTTTTGCCGGCACACAACTGCAGGCGTCTCGTGCAAACAACTTCCAATCTCGTTCTGGGGCAATGGCGGCCGTTTCCAAGGGCAATTTTATGATGTAACTGTATCAGATAATTACATACAACCATAGATGGCGCATTGATAATTGCATAAAAAATGTATAAAATGAACATCATTATAATTAGTTATCTTAATTTGGAGTTATAGTATTTATAATAGTTATCTTAATAGTATTTATTTGACCAGATTTCAAATAAATGGGTGTAATTAGTTAAGTTCCAAACCGCATTACAGATTGTTCCAGAATCTTCCATTTTGATGCCACGACCAAAGTTCACGCATCTTTTAGATGTTTCTGTAACACAAGAGATAAATATTATCCCCGGCGATTACATAACTTATTATTATGAATTAAGAAATAAAACGTCACATATTTGTGTTTCATTTAAGTTCTTCACAATTATTGACACATCTTTATTACATTGTAATTAAATTGTATACAAGATGGTTGACAATAATAAAACAAATTAAATTTAACAATTCTAAATTATAATTAAGTATAGTCTGCTAATATAATAATTATATACACTTAATCTAATATGATGATTCGAGTGGTCTCCCTTATGAGTAATGTATAAAACTAGCTTAAAATACAATGGACGGTTTCGATAAGGCTAACATTATTGTTTTCTCACAAGAAAACAATAACATGTTTAAAAAATAAAGTACGTACAAACAAGCACATAAGTAACAAATAAATTTACAATAATAAAATTAATACTAGAACGAAATAAAAGTAACACTAACAATAAATAACACCCTAAAAGAAGAAACAAATTGTACAAGCAACAAAAATAATCTCATAACGAAGAATAGGTAAATTTAGAATTACATTAATTGCGAAACTTATAACATTATTAGTATTCTTACAGTCAATACCGATATTTTAAACGTAATAATTAATAATAAAAGATTGATTATTGCGATATAAATCAATAATTAAACGATAAAAATGTTTATATTAATACAACTTGAATATATTTCAATATTCTATGGTTTAACAGCTAATTTGTATTAATCATCTGTTAATTTATAATACTATAAATTGTGTATATCAAATTTGAAATAAGTGATGTTACATCACGAATCGTGCTTGTTATAACATTTTTGTTATTTTTCTCCAGTTACCAAAAAGTTACCCTTACATATAATATTTCTAAACTTTTGTAAGGTGTAAAAGTATATATCAATATATTCATTTCAGTTTAATTAATAGTTTATATCAATCAATCATTTTATGAATTGGAATGGAAAAGTATGGTCAATCTTTAATTTTAAGTAACAACTTAATCTGCTTAAAATAATTAATATAATAATAATAATCTCACTTAATACTACTTGATATTAAGTATTTTTATAATCTTTTAAAGATTGCACATGTTTAAGGTTGAAGCATAGAAAATTAAACCTGAAAATTCCTTCATTTCTCTTCGTCCTTTTTTCAATCTCCATACTAATAAATGACTAGTAATAATTATAAATACATTTTAAATTTCTCAAATGTTCAAATCTACATTGAGTGGAAAGATGTTGAACGTGGTCGAAGGCATTGCGTGAATTTTAATTAAGTACAGTTTACATTTTTGAATTAGTCATTTCTACATTATTTAGGTTATCACGTATTCATGTACTTTTATGTCTGCTATGAGTTGCTTAACGCGCACTAATGAATTATTTAGTATTGAAGCACTGCTTCATACTTAAATGTTTTAAAGAATATTTGGAAAATAAGCGATTTTTAAGATCTTTCTCTGCATTTCGTATAATTTAACATGTTAAAAAGTAAGTAATTCGAGTGATAGTATAATTCACCTCAGAATGGTGTGGACGGAATTTAATAGTTTGAAGAACATGAATTTCTTTCTTTTAAATTTAAATTTTGAATACCTGCATTGGCTTGAAATCAATTAATAAGTGGCATCTCTATTAATTTTGATGTTATTTGGACTCGAAGCTGCAGACATTGCGTGATTGTCATAAGCGTACGCCAGATCTTCAGCCGGTCTTCGACTGATAGAAGTTGTCATTGTTGTAGGACTGACGTCGGAATCAACGCCTGGACTCGGGATATCCAATCGTAAATCCGGTTTCCCGCTGATCGTGGATACGCCATTGTTTGGCGTTTTATTCTCCACATCTTCAGAAGGCGTCTTCTAAAAAAACATTACTTAAGCTAAATCCGTTTCCAAAATGCCTCATGTTTCGCTTACCTTAGTAAAAAGTGCTTTCAAGTTTTCGATGTTCAACTTATTATTCTTTTCTGTTCCAAATAATTTGAAAAGAATCAAGGCAATCACGAGAATGGATAAAAAGCATGAAAGTACTAAAGCCGTCACCGCCAAATTATAAACCTTCTGGATATCAACTGAAAATAAATGAAATACGTTTAGGAAAAGTAACAGTAACAAAAAAATAATAATGTTTGTTATTAAACTGGGTTAGTGTTCGATACCAGCGCTAAAATCATAACTCTCCGCGCGTTTTACCGATAAAATTTAACAAAAGCGAATTTACCTTGAGCATTTGATGAGAAATCTCCACTAATCCCTCCGGTTTTTACATATCTGGCATCATGTAAATAATCTGAAACGACAACAAAAAAATATAGCTTATGACGTTGCGAACCGAATGCACAATCTAATTAGATTTTCACACATATATATGTTACGGGTATTTAGACTGATAGGTATATACGTTTCGAATTTCACAACAACGTTTCTTAAACACATAACAAAAGAATGCAACACGACCCGTTTCGTAAGCGCAAAATATCGATTACATAACGCATTTTGTAATTTGTTATGATTCTTTATTAATTAAAAAATAAAACTATAAAGAAGTCAAGTAGTAAAAATGCATTGCAATAAGTACTGACGAAATTATATTGCCCTGAATGTAAGAAACTGTTGTTATTAACGGTTTTATAAAATAAAAATATTTATTTGTAACTGAATATTAAAACTTGTTGCTACTAGAATTTGTTATATATGTTTAGTAATTTAAGTACTAACCAACGCCATTCGGATTAATTAGGTAAATTTATACATTTATTAAGGTCATTTACAGCATAAAAAATAAGTAATTCGTCGAAAATGTTGATAAAAATGTACTAACAAGTAAAACTCGCAAATGAATTGTATTTTTTTTAGATGTGACGCTGTGATGTTTGTTTTTAACACTTGTACGTGACTTTGTTTAATAAAAATGGCGTCGAGCATCCGATTGTAAAGTGTTAAAATTGTAATTTCGGTTTTGTTTGCTTTATACCAGATGAGTTCGTACCTTGGCAATCCCTTTCGCAAATTTGCGAATCCGTGTTATGTTTGTTCTTGTCGCAGATGTCTTCGCATGGTTTGCACTGGTTATCGTATTGGGAGCAGTATTGGTGTTCCTTGCAAGTCAAAGAGCCGCATTGGGTTGTTGTTAACGATAGATTGGCGAAGACGAATGATTGGAAACTGAGGATGGCAATCAGCACAAGCACCGGTCTCTTCTCTGAACGCAACATGTTCACATTTTAAGGGTAAGATAACTATATTTCTTTTGACTTTTTTTCGGTTTCTTTTTTTTAATAATCACTCGACCTCAACAGGTGTAACGGGAAATGAAATCCTCGATGCGTCCAACCACTACCTGAGCGCACTATCTGAGTCACGCAACTGACTTCGTAACTTTAAGTCAACTTCTGTAATGACTTCAGCATACGGACGGTTTTCCCGTGCGACGTCAACAGGTATGTGTGTAACTATACCTGCTTCTATCCCCTCTAAAAGAGAATACCTTTGGAGGTGGAGATCGGGTGCGGCGAATTCTGATACACACCATATGCTGCATACACAAAATACACCATTAAATAATAGCACAAAACAAAAACCTTTGACTATACAGTGAAATATAATAAAGAGAAAACTTAAAACTTCATTACACCAGCAATTTAAGTTTAATAATTAAACGCCCATTTAAAATAAGTTATAAAAGCATTAGAATTAAAGGATAGTTACTTTTAAGCTAATGATTTAATTAGTAATATAAAATAATACCTGAATATATTGTACACAAACGAAATAATACGAATGCGCTTATCTATCTTCCATTGTTTTCATTATTTAAACATAATAAACTTTAATTATTTGCCAGTGAGTAATACTCAAACTTTGCGAAAAGTCACAATCAAAACAAATAAAAACAATTGTCATCACATAAATATTTAGGAGTTTTTAAATTTTCTCTACTTCAATTATGAGTTTATTTTATTACCTCTAAGTAGGATCACGATTATTCTTTGTGCAAACCCACAAAATGACTTTTGGCACTTTCGTTGAATACGCTACAGGTAAAGAAACTCAAGTGGGGCAAAAGTACTCTGAAATAAGTTCATTTATGAAATCTTTTCTTATTTGGAAGACGAGATTTGTCAAGCATCATAAATATTAGTGATACTATAATAAAATGTAAAACCCCATATTAATACATTGTCAAAATAAATAAAATATTATAGTTTGATAATGCGATCAAGCAAATTATATATATTTTGCATACACATTTGAATTCCGCAATAATATCAATTCTTACTTAACAATTCAATTCATTTTAATAGATATACTATACTTTTTATTCGACTGTACTTTGAGATGCAAGGCAAATTCAGGTAGATCTTCTTCTCCTATATAGAAATCATTAAATAAGATTTTCGTGATTTTAAGAACGCTTTTTGGCTAATTCTTCATAATTCGAATTTTGAATTAAGTTAGCAAATTGAAATGAACTAAAAAAAACTACTTTTATAACTATTATAGCTAAATATTTTTATTTTCCAACGGACTAAAGTAAGATATAAATAAAGGAATTTTCAAAAAATAGCATATAGAGAAAAACTCGCTTGAGAGAAGAGTAGTTACTAGTATACTTAGATAGTTACTAGTATTGCATTCGACTGTTGAAAAAGTAATCACATCTAACATAGAAATACGACGATTACAGGAACATCACATTATATAACTAATAAGATGACATTAAGACCTTTCAGTTGAGTTAATTGAGAAGGTCATCATAATTCAGTAAAAGAAATATAATGATACGATAAATATAAACATGAATTGGCAGTTAATATATTCAACAATTCCTAAGATCATTATGTAGCAAATATTCATTGACAATTGCAAAATTATTCACTAAAAGATAAAATGTAAATAATATGAATATGAATGTTTTTAAAGATAGTTTTTAAATACAGGGCACAGTGAAACCTCGCTTAACGAGCAACTCGCATAACGAGCAACTCGCATAACGAGCATTTTGCTTACGAGTGACGACTCACTATATGAATAAAAATCCGGAAATTTTGAAACTGTATTAGAATTTCCATAGTATTGAAAAAGTGTTGTGTTCTTTGATCTTTATACGCGGAAGTAGATTTGGTTGCCTATATCAAATAGTACATTATTCAGATAAATTTGAAGAGCACAGCATATATAAATTTAATAAATATTATATACGAAACAATATTTTGTTTTATTTTAATGTTTAAGATTTGCAAAATAAAGTATATAAAATTTATTTATCTTGGAAGTAATTCTGTTGGTTGATTATTTTCCTCTTTCCATTACAAATAATATTCCTATTTGTAATGGAAAGAACTTCAGTTACAAATTGAATCACCTATCTAATGTATTATTATAATGTACTATTGCTACTCCTAGTTATGGGAATAAAATAATGTTGTTATTGTTTTGCTAAGATACAAAGTTCTTCCTCAATATAATCTCGAATCCGTGGACTTTCTTTTGTATTGTATATTATTCCCTGGTACTGTGCAATTTACGAAAATTAGCATACAATCGCGTTCTATAAAATGGGCACATTAAATGGTTCCTATGTTAAATGGCAATTTGCATTCGCATCCGATAATGTAATGTCCAAATTGAGTGTGTAATTGTATGCAAATTCGGAAAATCACGCACAAAATTGCACGACGCGCTCAAAATTATACGCGACCATTTATTATTAAAAAGCAAATTGCCAACACGGCGCGAAACCCGAATTAATTCACCCTTCGACACAAAATCGCTTCGTACATAAAAGGGACTAAAAGAAAATGGGAAAACAGGGAATGATGAGTAAAGGAGAAATGAGTACAAATTCTGCAGTTCAGATATAAGATTGTTTATTCGTTACTTATATTGTTGGTTTCGTGAAAATGTGATTGAAATAAATATTACTATAATAATTATTGTAGGGTGTTTATGCACTGGCTAGGTAATAATACTACAAATAAACAAGATAATTATAAAAGAACATATTACTACAAGAAAAGTACATCTATGGACTATTTTTTTCATTAACTCTATTGAACATGTAGCTTTATTTATAAAGAAAGAATCGAGTTACTGAAACTCAAAAAAGAAACGTATTACTTAACTTTAAAAAAAATGTATATATTACTATATTTTAGAGAAACAAAATAATTATTGTAGACGTAAAAAGCGCTATTATTTTTTATTTTCTTCTTTGCAATACTGTTTATCAATATTTTATATATGAATATATAATATATTTATATATAAATTATTTTTGTCTTATTTCTTTTCCAACTAGAATACACAGACATTATATAAAATGCTAAAATTAATTATCACATCTACATAAGACTTAACTGATTATACTTAAGGATTTAACATGATTATTATTTTTTGTTGTCGTTTGTTTATTTATTTCTATGTATATATATATATTATTATAGTATTGCTTATTTTTTTCTTAAAAGAAAATAATATTTTTTTAAGCACTTAAAGCTACGACGGGATATTTAAAATTATTTTTTGGTTTTAGTCTGTGCACATGCCGTATAAAATATTACAAATATTTCATATAATTACTTTTTGGGGCTTTGTTAGAACAACAACAAAAAAACGAACATAGTAACATTTTCTTGTTGGCGAAAAATTGAAGAAACTAAGAATAACAAAAATCGTTTGAAATGTTTCATATACACAGGTGCACAGTGCACGTAAATCTAAGCTAATTCAATGATATAAAAATAATAAGACCGTGTGAAAAAACAAATCTACATTAAATATATTTGCTGTGCTTATATACTTCCAACATTAACAAATGAAACCAAAAAAATTTCACAGAAAATCATCTTCACACACCTAAAAACTAATAAATCCACAGCCTTGGCTACTAACAAAGAAATTATTAATTTTATTTTGTTGTTGTCTGAGATTATTCAATAACACCCTGTATAGATATATTTTTTAAATATTATTATTACATTTAGGAGGAGATAATAATACTGAATTAAATAGAAATTAACGAAAATAATATTAATAATAATAATATAAGAAAATAAAAGAACGCACACACAAAACATAAATGTACAAAAAAAGTAAATGAAATAAATACCCCCCCATTCAGAACTGAACTGAAATCACGTTAATCTATTTTTTTTTTCGCTTCCTCGCATGATTGAGTTTTTCTTTTTTCGATTTTTTTTTTGAAAACATCTCTACACTCTTGCAAGGTCCCCAATAAATAATTAAAGTGTACGCGAAATCTATAATCAACGCAATCCTAAAAAGAAAATTAAGACAAAAATAGTGTTAATAGAATTCAAACGCAGGAAGAACAGTCTATGATCAGATTAGAAAATAGAGACAACGGAAATACGGTACACGATAATTATTATATCACCTTGTGAAAACAAGTTCGCTTAAATATTAATTATACATATTATTTGTTTTTTTTTTTGACATTTTTTTTAAATGTATATATATATTTATATTCAGCTTTATAAAAAAATAAAATTAATTTGTTAAAAAAATTGTCCACAGTCTGTTTGACGCACTCTTTCGATCTCTCTCGCTCTTAACGTTCCTTTGCTTATCTCATTCGTTTCAAAATAAAAAAAAAATCTTCTCAAATATCGCTTTCCATCGACGTTCTTCCTCTATACTCCTCTCGTTTTCCGGAACCATTATATGCCTGTTGGACTGTTGCTATTGCTACTGCTATTGTTGATGATGTTGGTGCTTTGGACGACGTAGTGTGTGAGGCGAGTTGGCAAACAACCGGCATTCAGCTGGTAGAACTCGACCAGTTGGAGGAGGTCGTAGAATTTGGTCACGCCGCTGTCCAGG